GGGCCTGGGCTCAGGCCGGGGCCGAGCCCGGGCGGCTGGGGGCTGGGGCCGCATGCCGCCTAGGAGCGCGGGGGGCGCAGGGGGAGCGCGGCTCGCGCCATCTTGCACCCACCCACCCAGCCGGCGATCTGTCAGCCTCGCCCGGGGAGCGCGCTCCGCACTCGCCCCGCCCGCGCGCCCCGCCCTCTCGCTCGGCCCGCCGCCCCTCCCCTCCCCGCGCGTCCCCTCCCCCAGCCCCCTCTCCCCGGAGGCCGGGTCTGGGGAACAAAAGAGCCGGCGAGCGCTTTAAGCTGCCGGACATTCCCGGCTGCGCGGCGGACGCGCCCCCTGCGCTTTGAACTGGGGCTGGGGCGGCCGGCGCCCTCCGGGGCTGCAGCCGGGGGTCTCTTCGCAGCCCGCTGGTCGAGGATCTAAGGGACCTGGGAAGTGCAGACCCAGCGGACTGCGGACAGACACTCAAAGCTATGGGATATGTAGTGCTCCGCTATTTCTGCTGCGTCCTCTTCCACTGTCTGTATTTTAGAGATAATTCCCCTAAAAGCTGCTCAAAGTTGTCACAGGATCTGTATTCCGTCGGCTCCTGGTCCTGGCAGTCGAAGGACAGGTCGTTTAGCTGCAAGACTGGCCTCTCTGGACTTGGGAGTTGTGACACGTGCGTAGACAGCTCAGGCAGAGCAGACTGGCCAGGACAATGAGGTCGCTAAAGTAGCCCGAGGTCTCTCCCAGCCCTCCCGGGTCAGCACTGCCTTGCAGCCATCCGAGCAAGGCCTCTTTGTACGAGACTCGCGCTGCAGATATACAATATGTATATCTCCCGCGCAGCCCTGGAGACCTCTAAACAGCAAATAACCTGGTAACTAACTGGGCAAGCACCTTCCAGTTAAAATTGCCAGTAACATCTCCATGTCACTAAACACACTCGATAATCTCATGTGGAAGAACTCGAGGCAACATAGGTTGCGTTTGAGAATGTTAGGGAAATAAGCAAGACTCGGGAAATGATCGCCCGCAGTCTCGAATCTTGGGCACTCGCTGCTATTGTAAACGATCTTCAGTTGAATGGAGTGTGGTGAACTTGGTCCACTGAAATCACTGAGCAGCTATTACTGAGTTCTGGGAGCTTGAGAAGTAAAAGTGGAGGTGTCTGCCTGGGTCAACTACCTGCCCCTTGGGCATTGGGTTGGGATGGCAAGGTGTGACTAGATCTCTGTTTTGATTCTAACTCTGGAATCCTGGAACTTAACTGTGGTGCGGATGAGGAAGTGCAGGCCTCCAGAACTCACACTGCCTGTAGATGGCCTCACTGACCCAGCGGTGGGCTTTGCCCAGTCTGGGGACCCCATCTCCACCTCTCCACACAGCAACTGAAAGATGTGCCTGGGAGTCAGGACCTGAGGTCCGGAGAAGCAGGGGGCAGTGGAGATAGTCAAGGCCAGCCCCCCCCCCCCTGCCTGGTGTTAAAAAGTGAGGAAGGGCAGGCCACAGTGAGGCTTCTCACCCAGGGCAAAGTGGAGAAGGAGGGGCTTCCTGCCATCCCCCCACCTCCCTGAAACTCCCTCCAGCCGGGCTTGAATCCTCAACAACCCCTTCTTGGCGCGTCCTGGACTCTGGAGAGGTCAAATCGGTGTCCTGAATTGCTGTCATTTTAAATTCATCTTGACAAGTGTTTAATTCTCCTTCATCACAACCCTCAGTCTGAGAGTGGTATGCAAATAATGGCTATTCTGCTGCATGCAAAATGGGCAGTATCTCTCTGTATGATCTGTCAATTAACTCCGGGTCTGGCCCACCAGTCACTTTAGGGGTGGTCCTGGGCAGGGCAGCCTCTGGCTCTGGGTTCCTTCCAATAAAGAGGCCTGCTTTGAGCTCTGCAAAGACCTCAGCCCAGAGCAGCTGCCAGCCACAAGCCTGCAATTCACAGGGCGAGCGTGGAGTTACATGAGCGAGGTGGTTTGCACACACTGTACCTGACAGAAGGTGAGTGTGCACAGGAGAACCTGACCTTGCAGACACGGAGCTTGGGTGTGAGTGTGCAGCCACTAGTAATTCTGATGACCAGACTTAGAAAGAATAGTTGTGGAACCTTCGACGCTTTTTCTTTTGCTGTTTTGGTGCCAGGTATTGAACTCAGGACCTTGTGCTTTTGTGATATTTCCTGTACCCAAGAAAGTGTGGAGAAGTGTGTACCCAGAGCAAACAAACCCCTAAGAGCCAAAAAACAACACATCTTCTCCAGTTACCCCCCCCCCTTTTTTTTTTGCAGGGCAGGGGGTGTTAAATCCAAGTACACAGGTTTTTCTTCTGGTCATCTGTGTCCCTACTTTCAAAAACCATGGTTTCCCATCCTGATGGCTATAAACTTTCTTTTTTTTTTTTTTTAAATTTTATTTATTTATTTTGCATTTATTTGTGTGTGTGTGTGTGTGGCCAGCTCAGCCCACCAGGGGGCAGGGCTGGCTGGCATGTGGTGCTGGAGGATTGAACCGCCGTCCCTGTGCTTTTGCCAAGCTTGTTCCAAGTAGGTGCTTTAGACCACTGAGCCATCTCTCCAGCCCCCGGCTATAAACTTTCTAGGACAGAAAAGCGGAGGAAATTCTAGCCATTGGTTCCATCCAGAATCACACAATAGGGGCCAGGGAGATGCTTAGTAGAATAAACACTTCCCCAGCAAGCGCAAGGTCCTGAGTTCAATCCCTAGTACTGCAAAAACAAAACAAACAAACAAACAAACAAACAAAAAAAGAATCACACAACTGGGCCAGTGAGATAGCTCAGCAGACTAAGCACCGGCTTTGGCAAGCACAGGGACCAGGCTTCAATTCCTGGTCCCACGTGTCCCACCAGCCCTGCCCCCAGGACACACTCCAGCCACCAAGTCCAGGTGTGGTGGTGCACACCTATAATCCCAGCACTGTGGAGGCTGAAAACAGGAGGATCACTATGAGTCTAAGTTTGTATAGTGAGACCCTGTACCAAATACATAAATGAGAAAAAAAAAAAAGAATCACGCAATTCTGGAAAACGGTTTATTAATTCATTATAGGGATAGATACATGATCAATATCTTCACTTAACACTAAAGAATACAGTATCCAGAAGGGGAAAAATGCTGGAAAAAATAATTAAATAATACAGCATAAACTACATACAGACAAATAAATGAGCAGGTACCGATTACACGTGTCATGCATCAAGAAAAGGATATTTAAATGTGACTCCAAAAACTTAAGGCATCAATGGTAGGTGACAAAGGGATTAATGCCCTGTAAAAGGCCAATAAGGCTCTTTTCTAATAAAAATACTGCTACAAAGACACAAACCCAATGTTCCCAAATTACCCATCGCCCAAATCATACATAATGCTAGTGAGTAACAGCCACTTTCTTATCAACTGTGAGTTATAGGCAGATACTAGATTTATTACTTATTTGCTTTTGAGAAACAATTTTCCACCCAACCTAATGGGTTATAAATTGTCTCATTTGCAGCTATTTAATTTAAACCAGAACCTCAGTGCCTGTTAAACAAGAACATGAAAAATGACGATGTGGTGTAACGCTAAGAGCCTACTGTTAAAACAGCCATTTAATTCAGGGCAGTCTTGTTTTCTTTAAAAAAAAAAAAAAAAAATTCAAACCAGAAAAATAAAATGAGGCTTTTGACCTTCAGAGAGATGATGAAACATATTGTGGTGCTGGCCACAGCCAAGCTGAAAGCTACGGAAACAGTACAAGTGACAATTCCATCTTTAACGAGATACAAAGGCGACATTAATAATCTTTAGTGTTATCACAGGCTGGCTGGAGGAGGGGCGTCTGAGGACATGTAGGTGAGAATGTCAAATGTGAGTGACACTCGATCGGAATAAACACAGGGGCTCTCAGGGTCTGCAACTCTGCAGAGAGACATTTCACCACTTAAAAAAAGAAAAGAGAAGAAGGAAAGATAGACTGGTTATTTCTAATTGGCCCAGAAGACAGAGTTAACTCTTGATGTGCCGATCGTTTTGTGAGAAATATCCTGCAATCTATGCTCCTGAGAGGGCTGGGGTGAGGGCACAGTAAATGGCATCTTTTTCACTAGACAGGAAACAGAAGTCAAGCTTGTCCTTGTGTGGAAGATCAGCAGAAAATGACTTGAGGATTCAGTTTAAAGAAAAGAAGAGCCAGTGATGTAGCTCAGTGGTGCAGCGCCGTCGGTAGCAAGAGTGAGGCCCAGAGTTTGAGACCCAGTACCAAAAAAGAAATTAGTTAAAAAAAAAAAAAAAAAAAGTCCCTTTGAAAAAGAAATGAATAAAAGCAAAGGAGCCGATCACTTCTTCCTCTGGATACTGCTCTTCATCCCAGTCAGGTCAAGACGCCAGGACAAGAACTCCTGAAATGTCAACCACCCTGGTCCAGCAAGCCCGCCTCCCTCCACAGAAGGCAACAAAACTTCCCCCGTGTGACTTGGATTGGATTCATCCCCTCCAGCAGAACCTTCCAGCCCCAGCAAAAAGTGGCAAGCGTCGCTGGACAGTCTCCTCTGAACCTGCCCTGCAGGAGGGAGCTGGCCAGCTGTGGTGCTCAGAGCACAGGGCGTAGCAGGGACCCGGGGACAGGGGAAACAGGTGTGCACTACGGCCTGGAAATAGACATGAGGTAGTCATGTTGTTAGGGAAAGATGCAGAAGCTGAACCCAGGCAGGAGAGTCAGATGGCGCAGTCGGGGGGAGGGGAGGACAGACAGACACACAGAGAGAGACAGAGACAGAGACAGAGAGACAGACAGACAGACAGAGAGAGAGACAGAGACAGAGAGGGAGATACCAGGGAGCAGAGGTGGAGCTGGACATGCGATGGCAAGGTGGCCTGGAGACAAGCGAGGGGGAAGGAAAGATGACAGGGAAAAGATTTGCAAAGCCAGGCACTTTCCAAATTATGCAACAAGACATGGGGTTGCTCTTGGGGCAGCCAGAGTGAGCCTCTCAGGCTGGGCAGTGGGCAGGCAGGAGAGGAAGGCGATGGCTAGACCTCAGGCCTGCAGAGCCCAAGTGCACAGGAAGTGGGCTGGGCTGTCTCTATCAGACAGGCACTGGAGACACTCTCAGAGTGCAACATAAAAGGCCAGGTGCCAAGGTGGTGGGGTCCACAGGGATGGGCCACCCTGAAGGTCAGCAGACCGTAGTGCTCACCACCTGGACTGCCCGAGGCTTCCCAGCTCACCAAACTTTACACTGCACACATGTGGCTTCATATACGTGTGTCACATGAAGCAGTGCCTCACATGTCATGTATGTGTTGCAAAGACAATAGGAGGAGTCAATAATCCAATTCTTCTCCTTCAAGCCAAAGCATCCTAGGAGGCTCCAAAGGGTGTAATGGTAGCTGTGGGTACGTGTGTGTGCATGCATGGCTGTGCACGCCAGGTCCCATGCACTGTATCAGCCTCTCTCAAACTGCACCTTCTGCTTAGGAGAACTAAGCAGAGGAGGAGATGGGAGCTCTGGGCAGGTCTGGGCTGGCCCCCAGAGGGCAGGGGGCTATGGGCTGGCAGCTGTCCCCAGGGGCCTCCTGTAGAGCCTTGCAGGGCTGGAGGTCTGGGTAGGTGCAGGGGGCACTGGCTTCCTCAGGCTGGCCGGTGAGTCGGTCAGACCCAGTGGCTGCCTGCTCACATTCCTCGAGCTCCTGGCCCAGCCAGTCTGTGCCCTGCCCAAGCTCCACAGCGCCAGAGGTGAAACCAGGAGCTTCCGTGGGCAGGGGGTCCTCAGGCTCCAGGTCTCGGAGATGGATGTCAGATTTCCCTCTGCATGCACTGAAGTCCGAGTGGACAATGACCTCGGCCTCCACCTGGTTCCTGCAGGCTGGGGGTGGCTTCTTCCTCCCGTTCCCCTGATTAGAGCAGAGAACAAGAGACAGAGGATGATCATCTGAAAAAACAGCCAAGACCAAGACTTTGACCCTCCACCAGAGTATGTCTTGCATGCAAGGTAGAGGCAGGAAGACAGGAACTGCCCCAACTGGCATGATGCTCAGGCCCCAGGAAGGACACCAACATCTACCAGGGCCTCCAGGAGGGGGACAGGAGGAATGCACCAGGCCAGTCTCGCCTACTTAGGTCTGGGTGGAGAAGGACCTGACCCTAATCCTAGTGAAACATTCTCCCTCCGAATGGGCCTGCCTGCCTCCCACTCAACCTTGCAGGCCTGCGTTCTCCTGGGTGGACTCAGGAAAGTTACCACCCTGGGCTCCAGCTGCTTCAGGACACCCGCCTTCTTCCCAGCGCTGACCTTGATGGCGTCATACACGAGGGCCTGCAGCAGCAGCGTCTGCCCAGTTCCGGCAGGAGGCAGCAGAGCCCGGGTCAGAGAAGGCCTGGGGCCAGGCTGGGGCAGCTCGCAGCCTGCCCAGGACCCTGCCCAGCTCGGCACCCCTGGATAACCCCAGGAGATCTACACAGGAGAAAGAAGGGGACATTGAGGCATGTGGCCACCATTACCTTCTTGGGGGCAAACTCAGGCGGTGGTCTTGTACACAAGTCTAACAGCAGATGCTCTGGGCAGAGCCCTGGGCTCTTCCTCCTTCAGGGTAGGGTTAGGTTAGGGTGAGGTGAGGGACGCCCAGGCAGCTGCACAGGGACGACTGGACTAACCCATCTCCATCCCAGCCCTAGGTGACCACAGCCCAGGTGTCAGCCTCTTTACTCGGGAGGGCTGGCACTTAAGGGTCTTCTCAACCCGGAGGTGAAGGGGCATTTGGGTGATCTGGCAAGTTTAAGTCACCTGCAGCTAGGGAGACCCAAGCTGAGCTCTATTTTTTTTTTTTTTTTTTAATAGCACTCTGTGGGGGGGCGGTTCTGCTTTCGCGAGTGTGTGTGAGTGGATGCGTGCTCTCTCGCCGGTCACACGCTGTGTTCTGGAGCCCCCTGGTGGTCTATCTGCGAATGAGCCTCTCATCTCACCTTTCTGTTGGCGTGGCCCCGGCAGTCGGAAGCACCGCCAACCATAAAGCTGTGCACTTCAGCCTTGTCTTCGGGGTCTGAGGGCGGTGGGGACCAGTCCTGGGGGTGAGGGTGCACGAGAGACTCCAGTTCGTGGGCTGCAGGGAGGCTGGGGGGGCCGAGCCGAGCTCTGGAGTAGAGCGCTGTGTTCCCAGTGGTGGCCGAGGACAGGCCCGGGAGGGCCTCCCTGGAAGGGAAGACAGGAAACAGGTGTCGGATCCGAGTGAAGAGTGGGACAGACACGGACAAGGTCCAGTCCAGCTGTGTCTCCGGGCCACGTCCGGCCCATCTCCAGGACCTGGTTTCCCAGTCTGTGCAATGCGAGTCGATCACTGTTAAAGAAGCCACACTGGAGGGTGTGGGGTCCCCTCCTTTCCGAGAGAAAGGGGATCATGGCACCTCTGTCTGCCTCTGCTCAGGGAGGACAACAGGGGCTCCTCTAAACCCATCCCTGTCCTCAGGAGAGCATCACTCCCGTCCCTGTATGTCAGAATCCTATGAAACAGAGTCATTTTCTGGTTTTCTGCCGGCTGGGGATTGAGCCAGGGCCTAATATACAGTAGGCAAGAGCTCTACCACTGTGTACACTCCCAGGTGAGTCTCCTGACTTTAACGGGGCTCCAGGGTCACCCCAGTCCACAGCCCTCCCAGCAAATCTGCTGCCTGCAGGCAGAATGGCGCTGGCTCACCTGTGGGGGTTGCGGCGCAGGCCGGCGCACATGCAGGCCAGCAGGCAGAGGAGGCCCAGGCACACGCCCACGATGATGCCTGTGACCGAGTGCACGTCCAAAGAGTCTGGTGAGGAGAAGGATCAGCGCAGGTCAAGAACAGGAGAAGGCCACGGGCTCATGATGAAGGTGAGTTGCATGGCCTCTGAAGGAGACCACTATATTCAGCTTCATCCCTGGAAACTCACTTCTGGTACTAAGCTACATCCCCAGCTTTTATATTTTATTCTGAGACAGTATCTCATTGAATTGCCCGGGCTGGACTCGAACTCGTCTCCTGATCCTCCTGCCTCAGCTTCCCAAATGGTTTGTATTACAGAGGCGTGCACCACCACACCCGTCTCGCATTTTCATTTTGTACTGAGCCACACCAGTGATACAGCCAATCCTGCTGCCAACCCCCGCCCTACAAAGCCTATCCCTTCACCACTCCAATCCTCCCAAAGAAAATGGACTCTAAACCACCGTCGTGGCCCTGACCAAGTCACCCGGATCCACAACCCTTCCCTTTGCATCCGCCCAGTCCCTACTGCTCAGGACAGCTGTCTGGAACGATGAAGGAGCAGCTGTACCCGCGGCTCCCGCCGCCCTCATACCTGACAGCTTCTCCTGCAGCGTGATCACATCCTGCAAGCGGGAGAAGGGCCCGGGCCCCACCTCCGTGCGCGCCCCCATCTTGAAGAAGTAGCGGGTGTGGCTCTCCAGCCCGTGCACTTCGGCGCTGAAGATGTTCCCTGGGGGGAGCCGGAGAGCAGGCGGGTGGGTGGGGAGCAGGGCGGGGCGGGGCGAGCTGGTGGGCGGGGCGAGCCGGTGGGCGGGGCGACCCCCTGGTGGGCGGGGCCTCACCTTCAGTGGTGAGCAGTGTCCACTGGTGTTCCGGCTGGGTGTGGTTGTTGCTGTACAGGATCAGGTACTCCACGATCTCGCCGTTGGGCTCTGTGGGGGGACACCAGTGGAGCCGCACGGTGGACGGCGTCAGGGGGCTCAGGCGGAGATCCGACGGCGGCGTCGAGGGCCCTGAGTGCGGAGGAGCGAATGGGAGGAGCGGAGTCCCCGAGAGCCCCGCCCTGGGTCAGCCGAGCCACACAGCCGACGCGAGGTGCAGGGGGCAGAGCTTTATTCCCAGAAGGCTGAACCCGGAAGGCGCGGCGAGGCGGGGCGGGCACTCACTGTCCGGCAGGGTGGAACGCTCCACCACCGAGCCGAAGGGCCCGTCCATGTCCACGCCGTGGGACTGCACCGCGAACTCGTACTTCGTGAACGGCTTCAGCCCGCCGATGAGGATGTCTTCTCCGGAGCTGCGGCAGGAAGTGGCCGGGACCTCCGACCGGAGCCCCTCCTCGGATGGGCAAGCCGCACCCTCCTCCTTCAGGGGCCTTCCCAAGAACCCGAGCTTCCTCTGTCTCCACCCACAGGTCCCTCTCCGCAGCCTTCCAAGCCGTGTTCTGGGTCACCCCAGCAGCGAGCCAGGTGCTGCCCTCTACGGGTGGGGTGTAAGGACAGGGCCAAGCTCCCGGCTCTCTGGGGACCAGCAACAGGTCCAGCTCCTGAGGCTGGGAACAAGCTGTGTCGCAGAAGGTGGGATCGGCCGGCTCTTTCTCACCTACCATCCCATGAGGACCCCTACAGGCCCACCATGCACCCCATATTCAGGGTAAGCCTGTCCTTGCTTCAACCTCAGGCCCTCTCACCTGGTGTAATAGGTGACTAGGGAGGCATTCCGGAGCCCCCAAGGGCTGAAGCGCACGGTGTAGTTGACGATCTTGACTGTAGTGAAGTCTGGCTTTTTCCACCGCAGCCAGATAGATGTGGAGCTGTTGGATTCCGCGTGGACGTGGGCGGGAGGCAGGGGCGGGCCCCGCTGGATGGGTAAATCTGCAGGAATGGAATGAGGGCAATGTGTCCCGAAGCCTTTTACATTCCTAAGGCTTTGGGCCTCTCTTGTTTGGGGGGGGCTTTGTGTGTGTGTGTGTGTGTGTGTGTGTGTGTGTGTGTGGCCAGCTCAGCCCACCAGGGGGCGTGGCCGGCTGGCATGTGGTGCTGGGGGATCGAACCGCGGTCCCTTGAACCGCGGTCCCTTGTGCGTTGCTAAACTTATTCCAAGTAGGTGCTTTAGACCACTAAGCCATCTCACCAGTCCCTGGGGGGGCTTGTTTTGTTTCGTTGGTATTAGGAAATGAACCCAGGGCCTTTGCATGAGTTGCATCTCCAGCCCTGTTTTATTTTTCATTTTAAGACAGCGTCTCAGTAAGTCACTAGGTTCCCGAAGAGTTGGAACTTCTGATCGTCCTGCCTCTGCCTTCTAGAATGCTGGGCTTGCAGTGCTGGCGACCACCTCATCCAGTTCCTCTTTCAGCCCTGAGTCAGGTAGCATTATTCCCACCTTACAGATAAGGAAATGGAAACTTCCAAGAATTGGAGTGATTTTTGTGAAGGCTGTACATATAGCAGACTTCAGACCACTCGCACATAAGAATGTAAGACAGAGGCTGAGGCAGGAGGACTGCTGTGAGTTGGAGGCCAACCTGGGTTACATAGTGAGTTCAAGGCCTGCCTGAACACGTAGAGTGACCAGTCTCAAAAAAAAAAAAAAAAAAGGAATATGAGCCAGCACCTTGCAGAAGTTAAGAGCACATGCGGGAGCCAGGCTGCCTACACTCAAAATTCCATCTCTCCACTTCTCCCTGTACAACCCTCGACAGGTTCCCTAACTTCTCTGAGCCTCCATTCTTGTTCTGGAAGTGGTTCCGACTGATGACAGTACCTACCTCATGGGGTTGTAATGAGGATTACAGTCTGTGTTATACATTGTAAGGAAAGCCTGGCATTCGATATGCACCAATATCTACTATTTGATTCGTGTTTATTATGGAAACAAACTCCATGAGAGCAGGTATCTTATTTGTGCTGTTTCATAACTAAATTTCCCGAACAGAGCTGGCACGGTGTAGATACTCAGTAAAATATTTGCTGAATGAATAAACGAACAAACTGGGATTAGAACCCAGGTTTCTTGGCTTCCTGCCGAGCAGCTTTGACGGCTACACCAGGGCAGTCGAGGTGAGGCGGTGTCACGTGGATGACCGGCGTCCACCACATGAGGGCGCCCTCCCTCCCTGGAGTTAAGGGAGAATCTGATGGAGGCAGCTGTGTTTGAGAAACTTTTGAGGTCAGGCTTGGGGTCAGGAATCACTGCTGGACCACGGGGTTCTCGGTCCAAACCTTCCAAAATAGCTCTGCTCGCAGATAATAAAAAGAAAGCAGTAGACCTAAAAGACGGCGCTCAAAGCACGGCTTGTATTCTGGCCAGAAAAGCATGGGCTCGGGTAAACTGAGGCAGCCACAAACCCCCCCCCCGGGCTCCGCCCCCGTCCGCAGCTCCTCACCTGGCGTGGGCGCCTTCTCGGTCTTGCCCTTCCACACTGCCGCGTAGCCGTCCTCATGCTTGTTGAATGCAAGGAGCTTCACCTCGTACAGCCGGCCAGGAACTGGGGAGGTCACAGGGATCGCTCTCTGGGGACAGGGACCTCCCGGAGCAACGCCAGCCCTCCTCCCGTGCTCCTGAGTCCTCACCTAGCTGGGTCAACTCATACTGCTTCACCTTCTTCTTGAGGCGGACGGGCCCCACGTCCCAAGTCTGCTCCCCACCGCCCCCTGGTGGGCGCTCGCCCTCAGCCTCCTCCTCCGTCCCCACCTCCCTCCAGTACAGCTTGTAGCCGGAGATCTGGGCTGGGTCAGGGGGTGGCTGCCACGACACGATCAGGGACTCCATCCGTGCACGCACCTTCAACTCTGCGGGGGCAAAAGGGACTGGGGCAGAGGAGGGAGAGAGGATGGGGCCAAAGAGAGAAGGTGGGAAGGGACAGGCAGGGGACACGGTCAGCAGGAGCTTTGCCAGGGCCTCACTGCTCCAGGGCCCCTGCTCAGGGCCAGACCTGGGCTCCAGCCCAGTGTGCTGTGTACCCAGATTCTGGGAATGTGAGTATGTCTCCCGCGTGTGCCCAGAGGGGGGGCATCTCTGGACACCGCTCAGAGTAGGCCTCGGACAGCCTCCCAGAGGAGCAGGTTCTGGAAAGGACCTGCGGAGGCCGGGGAGCAGGGCTGGAGCCATCAGAGTGGGTTTTCCCAGCCAGAGGCTAAGAGTAGAGGGGCTTCCTCACTGTGTGAAACATTCAACGGGTTTACATTTATTCTCATACAAAATACTCCTTATACAGAGAGGAAAGCTAAGGCTCAGAAAAGTAACTGGCTCAAAGTCAAAGAGTTACTATGTGTCCTGGGTTTTGTCTGCATTAGAGTTCTGGGGTTTTTTTTTTTTGTTGTTGTTGTTGTTGTTACATTTTTTCAAAAAAATTTACTATGTGGGCTGGTGAGATGGCTAAGTGGTCTACTTAGAACAAGCTTAGCAAATCACAGAGACCGCGGTTCAATCCCCCAGCACCACATGCCAGCCAGCCCCGCCCCCTGGTGAGCTGAACTGGCCACACACACACACAAAATAAATTAATTAATTTAAAAAAATTTACTATCGGGTCTCATTACACAGAATGGATGGACTTGTAATGATCCTCCCGTTTTCAGCCCCCCAAGTGCTGGAAGCAGGCACTTTGGTCCACTGAACTATTTCTCTAGCCCTGAGTTCTAGGGTTTTTTTTTTTGGGGGGGGGGTTTGGTGGAACCAGGGATTGAACTCAGTCCTTTGCACTTGCCAGGCTATCTCCCCAGCCCCTGTAGGTGTTTTGTGGGTTTTTTGTTTTTTTTGGGGGGTGGAACCGGGGATTGAACTCAGGCCCTTGCGCTTGCCAGGGAAGCACTTATTCTACTGAGCCATCTCCCCCGCCCAACCCTCTAGGGTTTTTTTAGACAGTCTCACTTTGTAGCCTGGGCTGGCCTTGAATTTGCAGCAAACCTCCTGCCTGAGCCTCCTCAGCTGGAACTATAGGTGTTCACCACGATGTCCGGCTAGTGAGTTCCTATAATGTGCTGAGTAAGCACTCTAATCACAACACCTTATTAATCCATATGCCACCCTGGAGCAGCCACTGAAGCCCAGAGTTGTGAATGGTTTGGCCAAGGTACAGCATGGAAAGGTGGGACATCGGAGCCCTGTTTCTTCCCTTCACACTACACCCAGGCTCCCTTCCCCACAAAGGGGAGGACAGAGGATCTCTGATGGAGAGGGTGCTGGGGCACCGGTTCCAAGGGCATGCATACCCCACTCAGCCACACCCATGTCCCCCCGGACCTGTACCATGGCTCTGGTTGTAGGCCCCTGGTGTTCTGTGCTGCATCCACGGGGAGGGGGCCCCATAGCCGGCACCAGTGCCCGCAGATATCCGCACTCTGTAGGCCCGGTTTGGCTGCAGCGAGTGCAGGGTCAGTTGTGTCTTGTTTCCTGGCACCTCGGTGGAGAAAACCTGGTCTGCTGGGCAGAAAAGACAGACCGCTTCAGATCCTGGATCCTCTGTCTGGTAGAGCCCAGGACATAGGGCACTGGGGGAAAACCTCACCACGTTCCCCCTCTTTTTTTTTTTTTTTTT